CGATTGGTAGCGTCTTTTTCTGTTGAACGACCCTCATGATGTGTGACAATTCACAGAGCATTGAGGGCTTTTATAAATGGAGATGATTTCCAACATCAGTGCTCATTCTTAATGTTGATCTACCGCGGTGAAGGTATTGTCAATACACTCATCAATAAACTACCATTCGAATTACATCTTCCTGGTTATTCGTATTGTGGTCCAGGAACCAAATTACAAGAACGACTAGAACGTGGAGATATAGGCATAAACCCCTTGGACGAAGCCTGTAAAGAGCACGATATCGCCTACTCTCAGAACAACACTTTGGAAGAACGTCATAAGGCTGATCGAGTGCTGGAAAATAGAGCTTGGGGACGTGTCAAATCAAAAGACGCGAAAATTGGTGAAAAAGCTGCTGCTTGGCTCGTCACCACCGGTATGAAGACAAAACGTAAACTTGGCATGGGGGTGACGAAGCAGCAGCAGCAGCAGCAGCCATTCTCCAAAATCGTGAAAAATGTGCTGAATGCTCTGAAAAAAACCTTTGACAGCAACGCTGACGGTGGTAGTCATCAAGGTAGTGGTTTGAGTAGATCATCTGCAGCAGCTTTGCGTGCAGCCCATAAGGCAATAAAAAAAGTTGGAGGTCGGAAAAAAATTCGAATTCCCAGAATAATACCTCTGCCTGCCGCAGGAAAAAGTGGTGGATTCCTACCATTGATACCACTATTTGCAGGCCTATCGGCTTTAGGATCGCTGGCTGGGGGAGCAAGCGCTATCGCAAAGACAGTAATCGATACCAAGAATGCGAGGAAAAAACTGGAAGAGGATAAACGTCACAATCAAGCTATGGAGCATCTGGGTTCCGGTGTGTATCTACGTAAAACACGTAAAGGATATGGACTGTATTTGAAAAAGAGAGGAGGTGGTGGTCGCGGCGGCGGTGGAGGAGGAGGAGGAGGAGGTGGCAGCTGTGGAGCTGGATTATTCTTGAAGAAACAAAAAAACTAATATCCAAGCTACCCAATAGAGCATTATATGATGGAGAGATTGTAAAATACGCCAAACAACTGAAAATACCATATTTTCGAGGAGTTTTCATGCGAGACACGCTACCTACCCGCCCATGGCGACGTCGTGAGTGTGCAGTCATGAATTTAGATTCCTCCATCAATCCTGGTACCCATTGGGTAGCTTATAAAAAACATGGGGATATTGTTCATTATTTCGATTCGTATGGTTGTCTGAAACCGCCGAAGGAATTAGCTGAATATTTCGGAAACAACGTGCAGATATTCTATAATAATGATGTCTATCAGAAATACAATCAGATCAATTGTGGTCATTTATGTTTAGCATTTCTATTGAATTCGAAATTAAAATGATGAAAATGAAAACCAAACTATTTAAATTATACATACCTCTACACTGATCCATCAGTCATGTCTTTGATATTGACATTGAAGAGTCGTTCTTCGACGCTCTCTATTGATTTTTCACCTCCAATTCCATTAGATTCCGATTATGAATATGGCTTAGCTCTACTCAGTTTCCATTCGTACAACAGCGTGCCCAACATCGAGGAAGGAACAAAGTTCTATTATTTCGAAAACGGTGACAAAAAACGAAGGAAAAGTATTGATATTCCTACTGGAGCTTACGAAATTGAAGATATTGAAAAGCTGATCAGAAAGCATCTTGTACCACCACCTACATCGAAAAATATGATGTCATTGTCTCCATCGCAGAAGCCTGAAGACCTTTTCTATCTCAAACCGAATAATAATACTTTGAAGAGTGAAATTTTCTGCAAACATCATGTAATCGATTTCACTCAAAACAATAGTTTGGCCAACATATTGGGATTTTCGTCGAGAATCTTGGAAAATGACATTCATCATGTGTCAGATCAGCCTGTGAATATTATAAAAGTTCGAACAATACATGTCGATAGTAACATTACCTCAGGGGCCTTCTACAACGACAGACCATCTCACACGATCTACGAATTTGCCATCGATGCTGACCCTGGTTACGCTATCGACGAAACGCCGAATCACCTCATTTATTTACCCATCGCTGCCCATACAAACGAAATCTACAACATCACGCTCAGAGTGCTCGATCAAAACTTTCAACTGGTCAATTTCCGAAACGAAGAAGTCATCATCCGATTGGAACTGAAAAAATTATGGTCCTGAGTGTTTATAAGAGTCGCACCTCCGTTCCTGCTCCTTCAGTCTTCAAGAAGACATTCATCAACCACATTGCCCGCCGCCCACTCAGTACTCGGAATATAGCATTTCTCAAGTCACTCGGCTATCATGTTATCCTCTCAAGTGTTCAACATATTCCGAAAGCCTCACGTCGACGAGTCCATACAAAAGGTCGAATGGAGAACATACTACCCTTACGTCAAGTCGTTTCGCAATAATGATGTCATAGAAATCAACATCAATCAGTCTGATGCTTTCGATGCTCTCTATGAAAGTATCTTACACATCAGTGGAAAAGTTACGAGAACTGAAGGTGCTGGACATGTAGCTTTCGTCAATAATGCCGGTGCCTATATGTTTCAATCCATCAGTTATGATCAGAATGGCAAGGAATTGGAATCAGTACGTGATGTTGGTACTGTGAGCACTGTCAGAGGTTATTTGTGCTACAGTGCTGAAGATACGAAACAATTGGCTATAGCAGGATGGACCTACCCCAATAACGTTGATGTCATAAATGCAGCAAGTTTGGCATTTAGTATGTTCATCCCATTGAAGCATCTGCTGAATATTTTCAACGATTATGAATGTGTCTCATATGGTAAACATTCCATCCGTTTGGTGAGAGCTGGAAATGATAACAACTGCTTCAAAATCACCGAAAATGCTGTTGGCACCGCTGTTGTACCCACGAAAGTACAATTGGAAATCGAAAACGTGGAACTCAAAGTGAAAAGACTATTTCCGAACGATCAAATCAAATTGCAACTTTTGAAGGCCATCAAAGCCGACACTCCCATCCTGATACCCTTCAGAAAATGGGAATTGCATATGTTGCCTTCTCTCACGACAGGCGCCACCAATGAAATATGGGCCGTCAAGACATCTTCGTTTCTCGAAAGTCCTAGATATTGCATCGTTTGCTTTCAAACAGATCATGATCTGACTAAAGTTAATACTGATCCCACGATTTTCAATCACGCAAACATAACGAATATCACATTAACTCTCAACGGGGAAAGTTATCCAAAGGAGAAGATGCAATTGGCCTTCGATAAAGGAGCCTTTCCACAGGCGTACTTCAACTATACGCAATTTGGATATAGCTATAAAAACACCTCCCAACACACTCCGCTCCTAGGCTACCCCGAGTTTGCCAATAAACAACCTCTTTTCGTTATCGATTGTTCGCGACGAGACGAAAGTGTCAAAAGCTCCACTGTCGATGTCAAACTTGAAATTGAAGCATCCCAAGGATTTCCTGCCAACACTCGAGCCTATTGTATCATCATCCATGATAACATCATTGAGCACCTCCCACTCAGTGAAATTATCAAGAAGTGGAATTGAATCTCAGTTTGTCATTCAGTTTGAGTTCGACCAGCATCATGAGAGTAGCGTTCATAGACATTCAAGGGTTCATTATCGAGCATGAATTCCGCCCCAAGGAGATTGCTATCAAAATTGGAGTTCAATGTAGTAATTATCTACTACTTCCATACAAATCCTTCTCTTCTCTCAGCAAAGAAGACCGAACCGGCGCTTGTTTCTTGGAAAAGAACATTCATGGGTTGAGGTATTCTAACGGATTTGTGGCATACAATTTACTCAATGATATCCTTCAGGATAAGCTGAGTGACATCGATATCATCTATGTGCGAGGTCATCAAAAAAAGGAGTTCCTGGACGATAAATTAGCAACATTCAATGTACATGCAAGAGTCGTGAATTTGGAGCAATATGACGATTCCTGGTACATCGTTCCAACTTTCGATAACAACAACACCATCACATCCTGTATGCATCACATTCGTCGAGAATCCTTCAATTGCAGCCTTCGCAACGTTGATATTTTATACAAATGGTTCGATAATTTGATACCTAAATGATGTTACTGAATTATTTAATAAAAAAACAACTTTTTCACCGATAATTTTATTTCATTTTTTCATCCTCGATTCCGTCAAACGTCATCTGTCAAAAGTCATACGTCATATGTCGAACGTCATACGCCATCGCCAAAACGGCAATTATGTATTACGTAGCACCCCGAATTATTCTGACGTCCGACAACGTAGCACACCGAGTATTTCCAACGTCTGGCAACCCTGTCCCATCGCTCGCTAGCACTCGCTAGCAGTCTGTGCCTGTGCCACTGTGCCAATCTCTGTATCATTCTCACAACTCGTAAACTTTCCCGTCTAGTGGTGTGGCGCGATGGTAGCGTTTCGGGCTCACAGCCCGTCGGTCGAGGTTCGAATCCTCGCGCAGAGCACACCCGACCAGCTTTTTTTTTTTAATTCCAAATATTCATCCATCGAAATCACCATCCATTACTCGAAATCGCCACCATCATCCACTATTTGAATTTGTCACCATCCAATATTTGAATTTGCCGCCGCCCAGTACAGAGCGCAGCCACAGCGACACTAGCGCCACTAGCGACACCAGTGAGTGTTTTTTGAACCCTTGAATTAAAAGCCTTGTTGACCTAACTACTCAGGTTTTTCCTTCTGTTGTTTCAAATTGTTCGTGCTGATTCGTTCTGATTGTTTCTAATGAATCACAAACTATTTTGAGGCAACAGGAATACTCGAAGATCGCTAAACACATTTTCAGAATTCATTGAACATTCAACCTAACTTATTGACTGAAATTACTTCGACGGGCGCCATTTTGAGGATTGTACAAACTTGTGCGTGCGTAAAAAATATCGGATTGAAACATAGAGGGGTGATTTAGCTTCTGTTCCTGTGAGGTTTATGTTCTGTGACTGTACCGACGTTTTTTCTGTGATTCTAGTTGCCGGATCGCTCTTCATGATGAGCAACATGGCGATGGTCTCGAGGTTCCCGCCGTCCTACTTGAAGTCCCACATGTACGGCACCTCTGTGGGCATTCTGCTAGGGTCCGTTGTGCAAATTGTCTGCCTCTGGATAGGAGGCTCATCGACCCAGGTAGCCCTCATGTACTTCCTGATAGGCACCGTCACTTGCGTGATCACGCTGGCTGTGGCTTTCATGGTCCATTACATTCCGCGCTTCAACTATTACCAGGTAGTGTACCACACAGCATATGACATACAATGGACGTCCATTCAACGGTCTGCTTCAATCTGAACGTTCATGGGTGTTGAATGGACGTCCATTGCACGTACAAGACATGCGGAAGTACAGTGGACATCATGAAGTCATACATCTATTGTACGTACATATAATGTACATGAAAAACTCAGTTATTGATAAATATTATGATTGATATTCTTGTTCATACTGTTTTGTTTTCATCATACATGGAAATGTCACCTAGAAAAAAACACTCATTTCATTAGAAACTCATCGGCATATCCAATACTGAATACACTGGACTTCCAATTCATACACATAATGCACTAATACATTCAATATTGATCACTGACGTAAACTTTACTGTATGTAGTACAAATGAAGTATTCGAAGAATTGACTGGACGATTCGTATTTTCGACGTTTTTTAACATGCTTTTTGCAAATGATCCGATTTTCAATCGAAATGCAGTGTTCAAAAGATGCATCGTTTCTGTTTAGGATTCATTGTTTGAAACTTCTCAGAAATTGACAGTTATGACCTATCAAGTGGTCAAAAACAGTGGTACATAATAATATGCGAAAAACTTCAGAAGCTCCCGTATTCCCCAGAAGTTTTTATCATTCTTCTCCAAATCAACCTTCTCAAATTTTTGAGTCAATATCTCGAAATGGTTCTGGAATTCTTGAAATTTCTCAAACATGATGTGAAATGTCGATATTTTTCGATATTTTGTATTTTTATGCATTTATGTGGATTTAAAATAGTTCGTGCGATTTTCAAACCGTATTGCCATGTGATACGATCGAATTCATTCCTGGTGAAGTTATCAACTACTCGTAAAAAAGTTCCACTTCACACACTTGTTACATAAATCCCTTTTCACGCTGGCAGGAGTAGAAGTTACTTTCTCTGGTAACAAAAGAGGGACAGAAGTGGCGTATTATTCTCTAGGGAGATGATGTGACATATTTTCTCCCTAGGGAGTTTATACCAACTTTACATTTTCTGCATAGCTTTGCGCTTCCTTTTCAGAACACCCTTCTGTGGAGCTGCATCATACAGATTTCTAGATTTCAGTGGTAGCAATGAAAGAATCACTGCAGAAGCAGTATCAGCAATTTTTTGGGGTTCTTCCTCGATTTCTTGTTCCATAACCGTTAACCGTTTTTGAAGCTATTTTTATACACTTCAGTTTGATATTTGCTGTCACCATGGGTTGTCAACAAGATGCATGATGTCAATATACGTATTCTACAAACTATACTACTACTAATTATGACAAAACACTCCGACCAAATTTCTATTTTTTCTTAATTACCGTGTTTTTGCCAGCGTGAAAAATAGTATATACACCTCAGGACAAAATGCTATTTTTCTCTTGGTGCTTTGTATCTCTCTAGCTTCGCCCTTGAGCTACAAATCGCACCTTGAAAGAGATTTTGCATTTCTGTCCCTTGATGTTTAATTTACTTCTTTGTATGTATCAATCGACTTTCGCAGGGTGATAGTATAGCAGATACGAAGAAGTCGTTACCTTCTTGGGATGATCTGAGAGAGGTGTCCAAGAATCTTTGGCCACTGATTCTAGGTGCGTTCATTGGCTCCCTGGCGATGACCATGAGTGGGCCTGCCATGACTGCGCTGGTCAATTCTGATCATCATGAAAAAGGAGATCCCTGGACAGGTGAGTATTTCTTTCATCATCCATTCTTTAGTCGCAACAAAGATTGTGCACATTCTATACTATTCAATTTCAAATTGAGACTGATCATTGTCGAAATAATAATATCGTCTTTATTATTTCCTTCCTTTCCAACGGTACAGTCATTTGAATTCGAATAATAGTATATTATTCAACAAGCAAATAATGGGGGCTATTATTCACGAAGGTCGAGTTTATGTCACGAGCGTAGCGAGTGGCATGATAAACTTGAGTGAATAATAGCTCATTATATGCGAATAAAATACTATACTTGTATACTTGTTATATTAATTATTCGTCCACGACTGTTGTACTTCCTCAAGCAAAACGATAGCCATTTTTCACAGCAGTAAATTATAGCGGAGAATAATCATTATTCACTGGTCTGGAGTTTTATCGCATACTGTAACGGTTAAAATGTAGATCGAGATCAGATCATTCAGTATAAGAAGTTTTTTCAGTGATGAGTGGAACTGACTGGGATGTCAGATTGGCTTTTTTGATAGTCATAAAAAGTTAATAAATACTTTCATCGTTACTTATCTCCGAGTTCATATTTCCTGTGCATCACTATAATAGTGACTCGTGCAATTATTGGTCCTTTGGGTTACAGTCAAGAAATAACCAGCTGATCTAATATGTCCGAACAAGGTAGGAGAAAAAGTCAGAGATTGAATTTCGGGGTGCCTCCTGAAAAATATGGTTACGAGGCGATACAGAATTTGCCTTTACCCGAAAGTGAAGAATCAAAGTCAATTGCCCAAGAGGATAACCACAGTCAAACTTCCAAACATACGGGGACTATCCCAAAAACTTATTTCGCAGCCCCGAGAATGTTGATAGTATAATAAATACGCTGAAGATCAATTTTGACAAAGAAGAATGGATTTTTCTGAATCAAATAGAGAAAATGAAAAGATGTCCCAATCCCGGAGATGAATCGGTAGAAACTTTCATTCACTTTTCAAATGTTGTTTCAAATATGGTGATTTCCATAAGAAATGTTGAAGCTGACAGATACTAAAGAAAACCCAGATTTATTATGGAAACTAGAAGAAAAATTGGTTCAAGTTTCGTTTAGCTGAAATCAGTTATGGAAAATTTGTTGCTATGGCAACCGTTGTCATGGTTACAGGTAAACAGAAAACAAAATCCCGTGGTGAGGAAATGCATGGTTGCCAAGTTGTATCGGGTTTAGTATAACTGAAATCAGTTATGGAAAAACTGTTGCCATGGCAACGATCGTCATGGTAAGAAGTAAACAAAAACCAGATTCCCGTGGTGAGGAAATGCGTGGTTGCCAAGTTGTATCGAGTTCAGTTTGGCTGAAATCAGTTATGAAAAAACTGTTGCTATGGCAACGATCGTCATGGTAACGAGTAAACAAAAATCCGATTCCAGTGGTGAGGAAATGCGTGGTTGCCAAGTTGTATCGGGTTTCGTATAGCTGAAATCAGCCTCAAATTTTGTTCCACAAAAGTTCTTGCTAGTATTCAAACAATAACTTGATTCGAATGAATACCCTTCTTATCAATTTCTTGAAGACTGTTCGTCGTTGATAAATTCCCAAAATTACTACTTCTCTGACGAGGCCAGGTAGCCGTGCGGACAGAGTGTCTATATTCTAATTCGCATTCGCTTGCCGGTCGTGGGTTCGATCCCCGTCGACTGCAGAAATTTTTCTGATGGCCCAAGAAAGTGTTTGGGATCACACGTTGAAAGGTAAGGCCCCCGTCATTCCTTGCTCGCACAAGACTTTCGAAGACTTTTGAGGGTTGCTCGTAAGGGGGCAACCGAATGACGGATAGAACAATTTTAGAACAATTTTTTAGAACAATTTCTGACGATCATATATGGATATAACGTCAGGAAAAAATAGGCTTTGTTATTGAACAGAGCTAGACAAAATAGCGGGCGACAAAATAGTGCGGAACAAATAGCGCATAAGGAAGGATACTACTTTTTCTAAACAATCTAACCTAACTCGGCTTGAATGAACCTTCTTAGAAAGAATATATTTTTCATCAGATCAATCAGATTTGGGAGCAAGGCATCGTTCGTGTGTGTTTAAAGACTGCATAGAAAAGGACACTACTTTTTCCAAACAATCTAACCTAACTCGACTTGAATCAACCTTCTTCTTGAAAAACATATATTTTCCAACATCGTTCAGATTTGGTAGCAAGGCATCGTTCGTGTATGTTCGAAGACTGTTGCTGAATCAAAATGTGCGCGTGCAGAAAGGTATGGGTGAATCGAAATGAAGGCAAATGGAAATTTGGGTGGGTCTAACGAGATGTTTCCATCTGTATTAGACAATTAGTACCTGTAGTCTCTCTTCTTATATCCTGCGCGATACCTCGTAATGGATATTCCAAAATGGCTCTGTTTCTTTTTGATTTTGTCGAATAGCTCGGCACGCGAAGGATGGTTACATTGAAGAGTGTTCTTGAAATTGATGAATGAAGCAATAATTCTCCGATACAACTTGGCAACCACGCATTTCCTCACCACGGAAATCGGATTTTTGTTCACTCGTTACCATGACGATCGTTGCCATCATGGCAATAGTTTTTCCAAAACTGATTTTAGCCAAACTAAACCCTATACAACTTGGCAACCACGCATTTCCTCACCATGGGCATCGGGTTTTTGTTTACTCGTTATCATGACGATCGTTGCCATGGCAACAGTTTTTCCACAACTGATTTCAGCTATACTAAACCCGATACAACTTGGCAACCACGCATTTCCTCACCACGGGTATCGGGTTTTTGTTTACTCGTTACTATGACGATCGTTGCCATAGCAACAATTTTTCCATAACTGATTTCAGCTAAACGAAACTTGAGCCGAAAAATTGCCTAAGATTGCGAACAGGTCAAGGGCCAAGGATAAAGTTGTTATGCTACGCGAGCGAATACCTATAAATTTAGAAATATTTTCAGGATGGCTCAAGTCGGAGGTGGAGATGATCATGTCCGTTAATGTACCGAATCAATTGATCAATAATCAGTTGGTCAAAGAAAAAGTTGAAAAATTTAGAACATATTATACTTCTGAAAATACTCCACAAAATTGTTCTCTTTGTGGAGATGATTACCATAAATTGAGTGACTGTAAAGTTTTCCTGAGTTATGATGTTCCAGAGAAAAAACGTTCCATCCAAAATAATGAGTAGGTACTGCTTTCGTTGCATCAAATTCGGGCATTTAGCAAAAAAATGTTACAGTAGAGTATATTGCGGTATTGGTTCATGCAAAAGGAGCCATCATCGACTCATTCACGCAGGAACAGTTTCTAAACAAAATATCACTTCAGAAACAATGCCAGAATCCGCTGAAGGAATAACTAACCTCATTGAAAAACGCGATGATGGCGACATCAGAAATGATACCGAAACAGTTGGACTAGTGAAAAACCAGTCTTCGATTTTGAAAATAGCTAAAGTGCGTTTATACAATGGAGATCAAACGGTAGATACGTATGCATTATTGGATGAAGGCTCCACAATCACTCTGGTGGACTCCGAAATTTCTCAGAGAATAAATTCATTAGGTCCCAAAATTCCAATTTCTTTGAAATAGGCGAACGATATTGATCACGAAGAAGAAGACTCCATGGCAGTGAACTTTGAAATATCCCCTTACAATAATCATAAGAAACAATAAAGAGTGAGAAGTGCTAGAACTATTAAGAACTAATGTTAACCACAACAAAAATTGGATATAGATTATATTTTATCAAGATACAGCTACATTGACCAATCTGTTTGAGAGTCAATGAAAAATGCTGAACCTTAACTACTAATTGGACAGGATAATGTGTCCCTGATTGTTAGTTTGGAAGTAATCCAGCCGAGATATGACCAATTAGCGCTCAGCAGAACAAGACTTGCTTGGATTGTCCATGGACCACTGTCTGATGATAGAACTGTTGGGTTAGTGAATGTATGCAGAGATGAAGAAAATCTAACGAAGTTTATCGAGGATTATTTTGAAATTGAAAATTCGCACCTCAGAAAAAAAAATGGGTCGACTTTTTCAAGAGAGCACTAAAGAGCCATAAATATTTTCGAAAATACTATCGAGCGAACAGGAGATAAATTCAAAATTGGATTACCCTGGAAAAAACAGAATCTCATTTTCCCACAAAGCAAGAGGTCTGCATTGTCAAGACTGAAATGTATTGAAAAAAAGATGGATAATAATCTAGACTCAGCTAAAGTTTATTGCGGAAAAATTTAAGATAATGGAGGATAGGCTATGCTGAAAAACTTTCTGTAGATGATTTGGTAGATAACGGTCGAGTTTGGTATCTACCACATTTTGGTGTTGAGAATCCGAAAACAACAGGAAAATTCAGACTGGTCTATGATGCGGCTGCGAAAGTTTCTGGAATGAGCATTAGCGACTTCCTGTTAACTGGACCAGATTTCTACCCACCTTTAGTAGGTATATTGTGGAGATTCCGAGATAGAAAATATGCATTTTGCGGAGATATCCGCGAAATGTTTCATCAAGTAGTGATTAAGAAAGAAGATAGAAAATGTTAACGATTTTTGTTCAGGGGGATGGATAAAATAAAAGAACCAGACATTTACGAAATGAAAGTGATGATTCTTGGTGCTGTATCCTCCCCGTACATGGCTCAGATTGTGGAACATTTCAATGCGTATAATGTTACAACAACATTATGTAGATGACTATTTAGATAGTAAAAATTCAATTGAAGAAGCAATCAACGCAGTTCATAGTGTGTGAGAGGTGCACAGAAGAGGTGGATTTGAAATGGTTAACTGAATCAGTAATTCCGAAGATTGTGCCAAATCAAAGAATCCTTTGAATTTGGACTCGAAAAAAATATTGAATATTTTAGGACTATTTTGGCACGTTGAAGACGATACATTCATTTTCAACTTGTTTGAAGCTTATAAGAACATAATGTCGGGCGAAGAGGTTCCAACTAAAAGAGGAATACTTCAAATAGTAATGACGATATTCGAATCCAATTGCACCAGAAGAATCTTCATATTACTATTCACAAAACCGCAACGTTTCATTGAAATTGATGAAAAAACAATTGAGTAATAAAATGAAAAACGATATTTCATAGAAATTTTGATACCCTGTATCTCGAAAACGAAGCAAGTTAGGACACCTGTCCATATGAACTTTATTTCCTAAAATATCACAAGGAATTGGCCCTTGAATTTTTTTGGTGTTATTCAGATACAACCTGTATACATATAAACATACATCTATTTTCGAGAATATGGTTTGCGAAAGAAGATGTACTGTTGACATTTCTACTCCATATCAACGATTTGTTGGAAGCAACTTCATGTCCAGTACATAGCTTCGCGGATGATAGTACCCTCCATACCGCCTTCTCTTCCAGGGCTCCAATACCATCTAGGCAAATCAGAAATAAACGTTGAGATATGTTGACAAAATGAATATGGACTTGGCAACAATTCTCGAATGAGGATCCAATAACATGGTACATTTCAATGCAAACAAAACACAAACATGCCCTTTTTCTAGAAAAGCCGATCTCACTGTGCCCAACATAAGCTTGTCAGGAGTAACAATACCTTTGAATAAATCCATTTCGATGCTTGGTCAGCAATGACCTTCTTTGGGAAAATCACATGAGATCAATTGCTAAAAGTGCATCCCAAAAACTTGCTTTTCTGTTTCGGACCAGGAGCTATTTCACTTTCAGTCAGCTGCTTATGATCTAGAAGGCACATATCCGACTTGTCCTGGAATACTGTTTCCATATTTGGAGTGCAGCACCCAAACATACCCTGAAACTGTTAGATTCTATCCAAAAAAGAGCGATTCGTCTCGTGGGTGATGCCTCACTCACAAACTCACTCATTTTCCTAGAACACCGTGAAAAAGTTGGCGATTTGGATTTCTTTTATCGATATTTTTATGAACGCTGCTCTTCTGAAATACCAACAATTGTTCCTCCCTTGGCAGTCCCCGCGAGATTAACCCGTCGAGTTGAGGCTTCGCACCCCTTCGTGGTCCCTTCTGAGACCTGCAGAACATATCTTTCTAAAGACGAGGCTCTGGAACACATTGCCAAGGGAGGTGTTTTCCGAGGCATATATAACCTACAGACATTTAAGAACACCAATTTCTACCTCATCTCCTTTGGGTCTCACGATGTTCTCTGGACATTACAGGATATTCCTCTTGGTGGGAACCAGAACATAAATAAATATTTTTTTTTATGTTCGGCTATCCTAGTGAAAAAAATTTTACCTGTCTGACCAACGTACTCTGCATTGCAATCAGAGCATTTGATCTTGTGAACGCTTGACTTAGAATGTACAGAGTGTTTGTCTTCATTAGTCACAGAATTGGAACCTGAACTATTATCTGTTTCGAAGAATAGAGTCATATTATGTTGTTCGAAGATTTTCTAAAATGCGAGGCAAGTTGGGCCACAATAGGACCAGAATCTGTATATCGTATTAGATTTATCGAATGAAGGCAGGAGATTCCTGTTAATTTTGTATTGATGTTTATTGAAAAGTTTATTTATAAAATTTTCTGAAAAACTGCTGTGTACTATTCGTTATCATAATATGTTGAGTTCATTACCGAAAGAGGCTACTGATATGAGTAAATTGAAGAGGCTGTGAAACATAATGTGGAAGCTATAGCGAATGCCTGTTTTGTTGGAGTGATTAGAGCGGAACGGTATAACTGTGTCAGTGTGAGTGGGCTTCCTGTAAATATCAGAAGTGGGACCGTAGTGAGATCTATCTATCTCTTGATCTAGAATAGGGATGGAGCCATCATCCTCAATTTCCATGGTGGATTTGATATTGGGGTATAGATCGTTAGGAAAGAGCAGAAAATCGTTAAGAGTAGTAGCATCATCATCTAACAAAACTATAGAGTTATCAACATATTTATGATAAAACTCAACACCATCGAACATCAATAAACTGGAAACAATTTACTCAGTTGTTCAATAACAATATGTGAAAATGAAATTTTTTTCAGATAAATATTTCGTTCCTGTGCTCGCTTTCCTTCTTCCTGGGGTTGTTGGGCTGATAGGAAGAGTCCTCGCCACTCCTTTATTAAACGTAAATATTGAGACACTTTTTCCTCACATTATTAAAATTGAAATTCATGCAATTTCATGTAAGTTTGATTTATTGTATGAGTATTTTACTAGGAGAAGCTACTGTATTAGCGAAACTTGTCATGTTATTAGGAGTTTGCAAAACTCTTATCGTTTGTGGAGTTCTTCACATTTACTATGATATTCCATCAAGTATAACGACCAAGTCAATTGAAAAAAAAAATCATATCGAATACATCTGATTCATTATTTGAGAATGATTCGTCTCTCTATTATAAACAGGCATGGAGAGGAAGTGATAAATTCCCAGTGTTACTTTGATATAATATCAATTATTAATCAATGAAGATTTTGCATATTTCCTAACCTTGCCAGTGTGTATTCATGCTGGTTTTGAATTTTACAGAGATCTAACGTTTACTGGTGGTTGGCCGTCAGCATCATTAATTCTTTGGCGGTGACGCCCCTCATAATGTTCTGCAACTCCAATAAGGAACACCTGCCGATTCTTTTTCCTCACGATTGGCAATTCATCACTCTACAGATAGTTATCAGCTTCATTAATAGCTATCTATCAACCTTATCATTTCTGAGCATGCCTAAGTAAGTTGATGCATTTTTGTTAGGAAATTCGGCATCAATGGAAGTTTTTTTGCATCCGACACAAAAGTCGTCCATTTTAATACCAAAATCTGCTCTTGAATGGAATTTTCTATATTACTGACACGAACATTAAATGGTGCTACGCAACGCTTTTAGTTCCTAGGTGCTGAAGTTGAACTTTAGCTCCTAGAAACTGAGAAGAATGTACTAGGTCATAAAGAATAATAGAAGATTGTTTCATTAGGATCAAAAGTGACACTTTGTTCGACAAGCGAATTTTGCATTCGCGAGGCGGAGCGCTTAGCGAAGCCAAGCGAAAGCAAAATTTGCGAGTCGAACAAAGTCACTTTTGATCCGAATGAAACATGATATTTTTTCTGCAACCGAAACAATTAACTCAAATAAATATGTGAAGTAACCACCAATGCCGTGCCATATGTATATGCAATGCAACAAATATTGACAAATAATCCGTGTGGTGAGAATATTTTTGCATGACCAGCAGGTTTATTTAATTTTCAAGGATGTTCGAATTGTGGTTTCAATATTAATACAACCACGGAGTGACATATTTGTTTATGGACCAGGTGCTCTAATGGCAAATACCGCGGCAGTGCCAGCTATAGGAACAAGATGTGGAAAATGTTAGGTTAGTGAGCATATCAACAATAATAATAGCGATTATTTATTCCTCTCCATAATACACTTTGTTCGACTTGATTATCAAATGAAGCTGAACGATATCGTTGTTTGAGACAAAAAACTATTGCTTGCCGTGATTATTCAAAAACAAGTTATCCATCCCGAGAATAACTAATGAAATACAGATCAAGCAAGTATTTGAATATTGAAGGCTTCTCTGATCGAAACAAAAACACTCGACTGAGATGTTTGAAATTCCTTTACTTGACTATAATAAGGTGTATTCATATCTCCAGCATCGGTATGAAATGCCAAATATGCCGAAATCGGAAACAAATCAGGTATGCGTCTCAACCCAAATAATCAACCGTCACGATGTTGTTTATTCTTATTGACGTTCAGTGCATCGTTTTTAGTTTCTAGGAACTAAAGTTCCACTTCAACTCCTAGGAACTAAAGGTCAACTTTAGCTCCTAGGAACTGAATATGTTGCCCAGCAGCATACCTATTTTTGTGTCAGTAATAGAAATGTCAATTTGAGAGCTAATTTTGGTATCAAAATGGACGACTTTTGTATCAGTTGCAGAAAAACAAAATTGTTACGCTTGGTTATTTGGGTTGGGACGCATACCTGATTTGTTCCCAATTTCGGCAGATTTGAGATTTCATACGCATGTTAGAGATATAAATACACCATATTATAGTTGAGAATTTCTGTTTCGATCAGTAAAGCCTTCGAGATTCACCACGCTTGATCTGTATTTCATTGTCTTCATTTCGGGAACTGTTTGATTGAATAACTCATTTTTCAATAATCACGGCCAGCAATACTTTTTTTGTCTCACACAACAATATTGTTCACCTTCATTCAATTTGATGATCGAGCCAAACACAGGGCTGACACCTGGTCCAAATTGATTCACCAAATTATCGATTCATTAGAATACACAAATGGGTCACTTTGTATTTGTATCAATATTGAAACTACAATTCGAACATCCTTGAAAATTGAATAAACTGGATCTGTAAATGCAGAGGTGAAATGCTAGTAGAAATATTCCTACCACCCGGATTATTTGTTGCATTGCACATAATATGGCACGGCATCCACGTTTCGACTATAGTATTGAATTCGTGCAAGGTATTTTAATAATCTGTCAAGAGTAAAGTACTTTTATTCTTTTAATATAAAAAATCAAATTAAATCAATTCATATAAAAAATCTGTTTTTCATGGAATTTTACTTCTCGATTCATATCGATTTTGATATGTTTTTCTACCTTGAGACAATTTTAATTCTTCGAATTCATTGAAAAAGCTGCTTAAAAGGGATGGAATGACAACGAGTCCATACTAGTTTTTGTTAATAATGTTCGACGGTATTGTAAGTATAAATCGGAATGATCAAGGAGTAGGAATCCATATTACTCACGACACTATAACATCTGAAAAGATCAAGCTGTTTCGGAGAATTTTTCAAACATATTGTTTGTTTTTTCATATTTCGCAATGAAAGGTACGTATCTTCTTCACTCTTGAACAGAATTATTAATTTTTGACATACCTGATATAAACTGGAAAAATTGTCGGTAGTATATACCAAACGTTTGGTAAAATAAGCGCCAGTCACTACATTCATCTAATGATACCACTACAAAATTGTATAAAACTATTCTATATCAAATATCACCACTTCAAAATAGTATGATAATTATAGTGAAGATTCAATTTTGTTATGGTATTATTTGATGAATGTAGTGACTGGCGCCTATTTTACAAAACGTTTGGTATTCACTACCGACTATTTCTGTGAGTGTACGTTTGAATAAAGATTGAAATCTGATATTCGCATCCTCGGTTATAGGCCTCGCAGAACTTTTCATAAATGATTACTTTTCATCATAAAATTATTCATAAAATAGGTTTCCATTCAGTGCCAACTTTTCCAGACCTACTGTATATCGAATATGTTGCAATAGCTTCGTGTCATTAATGTTTCGAAGGCATGTAAAACATGTATTTTATCAAACAGCACTTGTGCTAATCACTCTCCTGAGCAGAATGATTGAGAAATTGCACTTTCCTGTGCGGTAATTTGCACTTTATTTAGCGATTTGATAACGAGATAAGATTTTTTCTATCTGATACCACTAGAATGTTTGATTTCAGAAACCTACCTGTGCCACTTCTTAGTCTGAATCAAATTCACGGCACAGCGATTAATTTGCTGCCGAATATACTTCCGTCATGTAATAACGTGCCGCGATTCAAACTGATCTGAGTTAGTATCACGGCGTCAATATTTCTGAGAATATTTTGCTTTTCTCGAAAGATAATATCCGATGGACTATAGTGTAAAACTCAATATGTGGATTTGAATACTTGTAGTGCGACCACTACATGAGTTTCGCACTCATGGTCCATCGGATATTAACTTTGGAGATGGCCGAAATATTTTCAGGAATATTCACGCTCTGTCACTAACTCAGATCGGTTTGAATCACGGCACGTTTGGATATTCGCAAAGGGGGCATTGTCCCCTTTTAGTTGATTTTCGTTTCAATTTATCATCACATGACGAAAGTATGTCCGGGATAATAGCAGCAAATAAATTGCCATGCCATGGATTGATGTTTCACATGCCTTTGGAAAATATATAACGTCGTTATCAGTGTACGACCGGAATTAGCTGCTGGCTCTCTTACCATCACATTCGTTCTCGATTCAAGTTTATAACTACCATAAGATACGAGAAAATAGACTATGACTCACTATCGTCTCGCCTAGTATAACTACTGATAGTTGATTGATTTTTCAGGTTTGGAGGAGAAAATATAGAGTTGACTTTCTTGGTGATGGCTACCTTGGTGGGGATTTTCATGCACGCCTCGTCACCACTCTCCTCTGTTTGGGTGAATATCCAATGAATGGATTTTTGCCTTCAAATATATTTATTCTCATGTCTACAGAGCGAGTCAATGATCTGAATTCGATGAATTTGATTTTCAACGAATATCACATTCATATATAGGTTAGGTTAGGTAAGATTCGATGTAATTCCATAGATTCCACTATTTTCGACATTGGGTGTGATTTGGCTCACCCCTAGAAGGTAACAATCCACAAAATAATCCAAATCTGTTCATTGAGTTCAATATTGGATAGGGCAAGATCGCTTTATAGAACACCAGCCTATATATTGGTGAGTTAAGATTTGTAGATCTTGAATCTTCAGGAGGATGAGCAGAATTATCAGATAATAGTGTAAAATTATAAATCTCATCATCAAAGTCAACATTTCACAACTGAATTACCAGAAAATGATAATTTTTTTTTGTCCAGCGCAGTTTGAGCACTTCTAGTTATTGCAGCATATTCAATTCGCAAACTGGTATAAACAACGCTACTGAATACCACTTGTTCTAGTTTCTATACAGTGTCGAATAGGAATTATTCCTATATAAATGTTGCAGTAACGAATCCACTTTACAGTGGTTATTAGACTTTCGTCAAAAAACACCCTGTTTTAATTACTACCACTACCATCTCGAGGTAATGCAGTTATTCGTCTTATTTTATTATAGTTATCTGATATATGAATAAAACTTGACATTTTGATATGCTTTTGTTTTTTCATTTTCATCAGTTATTCAAATATTTTTCTACTCTAGTATATTCATCAAACATATAACTTTCCTCACAGAAACCCAGATATTTTAATTCAGAATGTCATCGATCATTTTGTTCTTCGAAATAAACCAATTCTGGGCCGGGAAAATAGGGTATGGATCATACTTCTTTCATTGCAGTAATGCAATGCACGGTGTATTCAACAGCTCGGTTTACAGCCAGCACTAAAACAAAATCTTGCTACATCACACGTCTTCACCCACAAGGCACGGCTCTATCGATTCGGACGATCGAAACCATTGAACAATGATTGAACACGGGCACCCATAACCGAGAACAGAAGTAAAAATGAACGTGATCTGTAGCTTTGCCAGCCCCAAAATTAATGAAAAAACTAGAGCGAAATGAGCCGAATTACGATTGTCGAATGATTGTCTAATAACCGTCATACATGTGAATTGCTATAGTATTCGTCAACGTACAATGCTAGAAACCCAAACAGCTATGATTATTGGGACAAACGCTATCTGAATTCACCAATTAGCATAATTCACAAAACAAGCTTTGTCAATAAAAAATATAAATTGACTAGAATTTATAAAATTCTCATGATGTCATGACACACCTGCGTTATGATGGTAGCAAATGTCCATTCAAAAGGTATTACAAATGATTTAATGAAGCGATTTTGATAAATACAGAATGTAGAGAATACTGTTGTAATAATAAAATGATCAGAAAAGGAGATTTCTTCATGATGGTTTTTACAATCAGAGCTGGCTGATATTTTTAATATCCAGTTTCTCTCAGTGTGTGGTTATGAGAACTGGTTCGTGCTCAATTTGGTGCAGTTCACAAGAATATGAAGAAATAGTCATGTTTCAATTTCCAAGCAACATCTCCATTTATTTTGTTTGATCATTTGGGTTTTTCTCTCTTTCTTTCTATGGAATGGGAATATGAGTATAATCTCAATATACGTCGAGTAGAACAGATCAAATGAGCTGCAACAAAGTGTCACTGCAATTGAAAAAAAATCCATCAGGTAGTCTTAAAGAAAAATCTTATCGTTGATCAGTGATACTTTGTATCGTGAGAGGTTTGAAGGAGAAAAATATAGATTCATTGAGAAAATATCAAATATCTACCATTCTTTGGACGTTTCGAAATCGAATCTGCTGTCATTCTCAACTTGAAAAATGTAGAATTTTATTCTTTGAAAACTGTCTTATATTGTGACGCTTCTCAGTAACAGACCGATAGTAGCTTACAAATAGATGATATTGGTATACAAATGATTTTTTTTTATCCACTGGAGTACAGGTAAACGCGTTTTGATAAAGTGCTGTTCGACATATGTCGGGTTGACAACAAAAATTTGCGCTGACTGGGCTTGTCGAGTTCGTCTGATAGAATGTGATAGTGATAGAATGGATGCAGAGATTCCCAAAGAACATTCCTCGTGGAAGTATCTAGTCAAAAGTAAAAGATTGCCGACTTTTCTACGGTAGGTAATCGAATTCCGTAAACGATTTACAGGATGTTTCCATCAATTGATCTTGAATCTACCATCATCATGTTCAGTTTGCAGTGATGAATACCATGTTCAAATATACCTATATCAACTGAACAGAAGAATGCAAGCGGATTCCTTGATATTTCTCTCTCGATTGTTATCTTTCATTCCTATGATTTCTATAACACTCCACTCTGCCATTTATGTTGTCTATTTTCAGTCAAGCTAGCTCTATATATCCTTACCTCACTCGTGGTACTTCAATACCTCAATCCTTCAGGTTGGTAGATTAGGATATTGGAGTTTGGCAACTCATATGGTGGGTTTAGTTTATTGTATCAGTATTTCACCTGAAGAAGCTACTGTGATAGCGAAACATGTCGTGTGATAAGCAATTTTGTGGAAATCTTATAGTTTGTGAGTTTTTAATTACATTTACTATGGATCTTCATCAAGTAACGGCCAAGTCAATTTGAAAAAGTTGGTTTTCGTCTTAGGGTTATCTGAATCATTCTGGAATCAGTTTGTGCTGAAGTTATCTAATAAATATTTTTTCAGGTAAATATTCAACAACACACCCTATTATTTATTCCATTTTCTACTTCTTTTCAGTTTGAATAAACATTACATCGTGTTTTCTTAGTTTTTCAAACATCTATTGATCTTCTTCTACATATAAAATGATAAAAGCATTCGATAGAGGTAGAAAGAATACACGAAGAAGGTAATCCGATCGAAATACAGAAAGTAGAACCGTTTTCGGAATATTTGGTTTGTTCTAGTTACATGGTTTTAGCAGATTGATTCATCGAAACAATATCTTGAGAGGCCAACGTCTATTTGGTCCTAAATTTCGACATGAGTATTGTAATGAATGAACAAGTGTATCAAAAAAATGTATATCATCAACATGAATTCATTCAGAAAAATTCAATCGGGTGGCTTTTGCCGTTTGAAAATTATGGAAGAAAATTAGTTCTAGTTTATCAACCTCAAACTATACCTATTTTGCAATGTACTATCACCTTCAGAAACCTCCCTACACATTTTCGACTCACCCTGTGTATAGATGATAATACACAATGTAACCTAGCTCGTTATGAACGCATTTCACTAAAAAATCTCTTGAATCTAATTTTTAACATGAACAAAAAACAAGTGAAAGTGTAGCAAAGAAATTGCAAAATGAACTCTTCGTTGTGGTGGTGGGGGATTTTTGGGGTTTTGTTGTTGAATGGTAGGTAGATGTGAGGTCTTATCAGGTACTTGATATGATTACAAGAAAGAAGAAACTGTTGGCAACATTGTTCGAAGTTGAGCAGCGATATCGCCATATTCCGCTAGTGAAATTGTTACTTGACACCATATGTTGTAATGACCGCCGTGGAATTGAATTAATCGAATATTTTGACATGAAGCTTTCGATGCTATCTTTTTTAGTCATATCCAGATGAAAAATAATCTGCCTGACATACAACGAAGCAGATAGAACAACATTTGGGAAGATTTCATCACTGTCAAGAATCTGGAAGAGCAAATCATCCATTACATTCATACTCATACTCTTTACCACAACACCATCGATCTTGATGAGGAATTTGCAGAAATCAATAACTATATTCATAGTGTTGATCATATTCTGAATTATGTTGGAATGAAACTAAATTAGGTGTATTATTTCCTATTACAAAAATATACATGGGGATGTTGCTAGTTCTCTCTATTATACAAGTTTCGATTTCTGACTGTTGGCTGGCCAGAATCGATGGTCTAATGGAGAGATATATTCCATGAATTGAAAATCAATTTTTTCTAGCGTTTTTTCAAATATTCTTCTAGAAGGTACTCAGTATTATAAGCTGTCCCTGTATATCTGGATACCTACTACATAATAACTCAGCTTCGAGAAGTTGGTGATACACTATGCGATCAAAGTCATCTTAGTAATCGAGCACACATTCGACAAATACGGACCTAGGTTCAGCTCAGATATTATAAGGAAGAATAGAAATTCGTTCACGTTCGACCCTGCCAAAGCCCAAGAAACTGGCACACAAAGTTGAACGAAGGTCTCCTAGTTATTTGAATGTAATTTCGATGAGAGTTTAATAAGTCGCAATTAGGTGAGAAATCTTGAAATGAATGGCTATTCACATTCCTCGGAAATTGTTCCTTTTCGAAAGAGCTTTGAGAATTATCAATTTCTAGTAGACTGTAGGACACAAAGGTGATATGATCCCACTACTTTGGATATTGATTGCTCTTTTAAATTCCACATATTTTTAAATTTCTTGTATATCAGATGGCCTAAAAGATCTGAGACACCTGGTGTTCACATAACGAAATGTACTGCGTATTCTTTCCTGATAATATTGACCAGGATTTTTGTGAATTCAGAGGTAGTTATTTGATTCGTGGAATGTTGAGAGTCTGGAACTTGACCAACGCCACTGTGTAGATTCGGGCGATTCTGATGAAGTTCAATGAAAAAGATTTTTTTCAAGAAAATATGATGCATATTTTGAGAAATGCTGTCATGTATCGTTATAAAACTATAACATGAAGATATAACTCAACGACAAGAAAATCTACTCAAATATCGAATTGTTGGAAGAAATAACCATCCTGTGAATGGAAGCCGAAGAGAATTCGAGAAATTCAGTTAATTCAGGTTACATGATTGAATGGCTGGTCCTCCGAATATACCTGAGAAATGATAATCGTCTAGTAGGATATTCAATTTGTTGGGCTTCAGATTCTCCAGATACTGAATGAAACTGATCATCTAAGATCAATTCAATATCGGCATATTTGGATAAGCTGAGGGTATGAGATTTTGTTGAGTTTTTCAATGAATAAATCCATTTGAAATCATTGAAGAGAGACAATGAAAACGCATCGTCAGCATCAAGAGTTAGGTATTTTGAATCAACTACCAAGTTATTCGATAGGTGGATGTAGGTATTTGGACATCATCGAATAAGATCAATCACTTCTTAAATTCCAAATTTTGTGATATCGATTATAGTTTCCACTCACAGAGAACTCGATCTTCATTAGTTTCCATTCAGTGAGAAATCTTGAAATGAACGGCTATTCACGTTCCTCGGAAATGATTGTTCTTCTCGAAAGAGCTTTGACAATTATCATTCAACATAGCTTGAACTGCACTTGCTATGAAGGGAATTGTCTCAAAGAAAATTCTGAATTCATAAAATTAACAGGTGAATTCAACTACAATGGTGATTCAATTCTATTCAAACAATAGGGGGCTATACAGTATTTTTCATTATGTATTGTGTCTGCATTCCATTCATGATAATTTCTACTTCAAATTTCATATTATTCCGTTAGCCTCGAAGCAAGAGATGGAATTTCCCGAGAGTTCAGCTCAGTATTAGAATAGTTCACCCAAATATCGCCT